TTTTTTGCAAAAGAAGAGGGTGGTAAACCCGTGAAAGAAAACTGGAAGCAGGGATCGCTGCGAGATCAAATGCATTGGGCAGTACAGCCCGTTCTAGCTCCAACTTTGTCTTCCTAGATCACGTCTTCTAAACATCTAGGCACATCCTGCAGCTCCCTTGACCTCAGGTCATGCGAAAGAGCTATCGCGGTCAAACGGTCGGCAGCTCGGTTCTGGGTATGAGGCACATGCTTAACAACCAAAGCTTGGAACTGCTGGCGTTCCTCTGCACATAAACTCAGAATATTGCACCCACTCTCAATCCCTTTGTCTAATCCAGTAAAGTGTTGGACTGTACTCAAAGAGTCACTCTCGATGATCAACTTTCGGACTCCCCATCCTGCTGCCATCCACAATCCCAGCAGAAGGGCCCATCGTTCGGCATATTCCACTGAGCAAGAGCCGATGTTGGACGTGAATCCCCGCACCAAATCCCCGAGGTGATCGCGAAAGACGCCTCCACAGCCCGCTCTTGTTCCCGCACCTTTGCAACAACCGTCAATGTTGAGCTTCAACCACCCAGCTTCCGGCTTCGTCCATGGCATAGCGGCGTCAACGTTTCTTCGCTGCGAGCTCTTCGGGCTCCATCTCCGTTGGAACGCCATCGTAATCTCATTCCTTTGGGTGATCACCCAAGCCACTTTTTGGTCATTCGTCGAACTGCGGTCGTTGAAGACCCGGTCGTTCCTCCATCGCCAACACCACCAAAGGCTTATCCCAAAGAGCACCGGCCATTCCTCCACCTCGCGTAAGCCATGGGTGGCCCTCAAATTTGCTGCCAGCCATTCATCCCAGGTCTTCGCTCGCAGCTCCGCGACAGCCTGCCTTGGCATGATCCGTTCCCAAAAGCCCTTGACCTCCTTGCACCATCTGAAAATGTGCTCCAGCGTTTCTGGTTTCCCTGCACATAGAGAACACATTTTATCAGTTGTAAAGCCACGTTTGAAGCGCTTCGTATTGGACATTAACCGTCCGTGTTTTACCAGCCACAAAAAGTGGCTAATCTTATTTAGCAGCCTAAGCTTCCAGATGATGTCCCAATCCCCATCCTTGTAAGCATCGTTTTCTGTATGCATGGAGTCATACGCCGAGCGTATGGAAAATTTCCCGTTCGGCTCGCCCTCCCAACCCCAATCGTCTTGCACAACATCATTATCGATCAGGATGATGGCGTGGATCTTCGCGAGCCACTCATTCTCCAGCACGCCTGTAATCAGCTCCCATTTCCACCCTCTCCCTCTCTCCCAATAGTCGGCCACGGGAGCGTACAGCTCCGGGAGGCTCACAGGTCTCCGCGTATGGTCATATAACCTCTGGCCTTGCACCCATGCATCCATCCAGAATTGTGTACTTCGGCCATTCTTTACCATCCTTACTAATCCTTTTTCCAGAACGGGTGTCGCCCCTTGAATTCCACGCCAAGCATTCGAAGAACCTCTCCTAGACTGCTCCGTTGAGTATTTTCCACGCATCACTTAAACCCAAAGATGATCTTGTTCCTTCTTCATCCGCCAACCCAACTTCGCCATGAAAGTCGTGTTCACGTCTTGACATCGCCTAAAACGCAGACCACCTGCCTGTTTCCCCCTCACGACCGTGTCCCAATTGACCAAACTAGGCTTTCGCGAATCATTATCCCCTCCCAGATGAACCGCCGCGTCAGTGCCTCTATCTTTTGACATACTCCTCTTGTAATTAACATCGTTTGCATGGTATAAGTAGGGATAGCGCACAAAACGGACTTTTACTAATGTGACCCTTCCCGCAAAATTTAGAGTTTTTCCACGCCACCCGTCTAACCTCGATTGCAACCGCTCAATGAGCCCCGAGAACGTGGCCTGCGTGACCCTCCCATGCAAATACTGAACGCCTAGGTACTTTCCCAGGTCATTCGTTCGAGGAATGCCTAGCTTGTTGGAAATTGCTTCTGCAAGCTCCGGGCTAGTATTACGAGAAAAGAACACTTGGGATTTTCCTAAGCTTAGTCGCTGGCCCGATGCTGTGCAGAATTGGTCCAGGCACCATCGCATAACCGACACTTGTTCCAAGGAAGCTTCAGAGAAGAGTACCATATCATTAGCAAAGCAGAGATGCGATAGCGTAGGCCCTGTAGCAGACAGCCTGACCCCCTTCCAATTCTCGTTCGCTACTTCCATAGCAATGGCTTGGCTGAGCCTCTCCATACAGAGCACGAACAACGCGGGAGACATGGCATCTCCCTGGCGAATGCCTCTCCCCGGCTTGAATGGAGGCAAACACGCTGCATTCCACACAATTTGCATGTCAGTCGTCCGGACACACTCCATAATAATGCGCCCCCATGCCTCGTTGAAACCTACATAAAAAAGAGTATCTTTAATAAAGTTCCAGGAGAGGCGGTCATACGCCTTTTCCAGATCAATTTTGATGGCCATGATTCCTTTTTTCCCTCTCTTCGTCCGCATTGAGAGCATCACTTCCTGATAGACGACGACGTTGTCTGATATTTGTCTCTCGGGGACGAAGGAGCTCTAGAAGGGCCCAATGAGTTTGGGGAGGACAAACTTGAGCCTGTTCGTTATTGTCTTAGTCACCACTTTATAAAGAATGTTGCACAGGCTTATGGGCCTAAACTGCTTGATAGTCTCGGGCACAGCGGTCTTCGGGATTAGGACCAGCAGTGTGGCATTAATGCCTTCCGGTAGTGCGCCCGTCTCAAACGCCGTTTTAACCAAATTGTACACGCTCTCTCCTACAGTCGTCCACTCATGTTGATAGAACGCCGCGTGGAGACCATTTGGGCCTGGCGCCTTCATGGGACTCATGCCGAACAAAGCACCTCGAACCTCATCAATTGTCACGGCCCTGTTAAAGATACGCCAGTCTATTTGGCTGATACTTGGGAACATGCCTCGAGTCCCTGCCGTGGCTGTGTTGGATCCATCCGCCTTAAACAGGCTCGTATAAAAGTCGTGGACATGTTGTTGCAACTGCACCGGCTCCTCTATCCAGGTTTCTGATTCGTCTTTCAGGCTCAAAACTCTGCTACACGATTTCTTCACCATGGCCGCCGTGTGGTAATACTTGGTGTTTCTGTCCCCTGACACTATCCACTCCTCTTCAGAACGTTGGTGCCACATTAATTCTTCCTGGTACAACACATCCTCTAGTTCTTTTCGTAGCTTAATTTCCAGCTTCCAAATACCTCGATGAAAGGATTGTGCCATCCGTTTCTAAATCCCTCCAATGCGTGCCAAAAGAATTTTCTTTCTCACTTCGATGCTGCCAAAGACCTCCCGCTTCCACACTGTAAGGTCATCCTCAACTTTCTTGATGTTTTCTTGAAGCCCATTGCCAGACGTCCAAGCTTGCCTGATTACAGCACTAAAACTTTCATTAGTAAGCCACGCAGCTTGGAATTTAAGCCAGAAGGTCACCTGGCCCCCGCCCGAGGCGGAGGGTTGGAGAAGAAGCGGTGCATGGTCCGAGCCCACTCTCGGTAGATGGCGTACCGTGGCTTCGCTGAAACGTTGGCGCCACTCCACGCTACACAAGGCCCTGTCCAACCGCACCCCTTTTTCATTTATCCCATCTAGACCTCTCATCCAGGTAAGCCGAGGCCCGGAAAACCCCAAGTCCACCAGGCCTTCATCGTGTATCCAGTTGACGAAATCCTCGTTCCGCTGGGTGGGCATGGATGTGTAGTTGGAGGTCTCCTCCTTGGAAGTGACGACATTGAAATCCCCCACCGCTACCCATTCTCGTAGAATGCTTCGTTTCTGTGCTCGGAGCTCGTTCTAGAGCCTTTTTCTAAGATGGTGGGTCGGGCTTCCATACACCACTGCAAGACCCCACGGATCTTCTCCGTTCTCGTAGACCTGCATTAAAATAAATTGCGGGTGAGTGTATTCAACTGTAATCTCCACCGGCTTATTCCATAAAACCCAAATCCCTCCACTAAATCCCACGGCTTCGACCCTGACCCAGTCTGAATATCCCAACTTTGCGCAAATGGCGTCGGCCTGTGTGCCTGAGATTTTCGGTTCCACTAGCCCTAGCAGCTTGGGCTTATAGGTATGGATAAGATTTTTAAGGACGCGGTGAAAACTCCTTCCTCCGGCGCCCTGGCAATTCCATATCATACTAATCATAAGGAAAACAAAACAAGGAAAAAAAAACAAGACACCACGTTAAAACCAAAACAGACATAGTGACAAAAGAGAAAAACACTCAAGAGGCATATAGATCCGCCTCATCTGCATCAACCTCCTGCGCCTCGCCTAGCTCCATGACTATATCTCCCTCCGCATCGAAGCAACGAGGAGGGTCATTGTGGTGTTCCTTGGTGGTCTGCCAAACTGGTGAAGGGATTTCCTCCGCCCCGTTCACAGACATCACCCTCGTTGAACTAATGACCAGCCCTCCTTGCTTGCCTCTAACAACCACATGTTCGTCCTCGTTTGCTGCACGCCTCGATGGCTCCCCTCTTTCTCTCCGTGGCCCACCGGCAGTATCCCCCTCTAGAGTCTGCCTCTGTATACTCATGTGCGACCTCACTCTGGGCGTGCCGGACTGTGCGTTGGAAATTGGCCCCCGTGCTACCCTGGGTTCGTTGTTGATTTGCTGTTCTCTGGCTATGACGTTTGGTCTGCGTACCCTACCTCCCTCGGATGCCAGTGTTGTGTCCTGGTGCCTGTTCACATCAGCATGCATCTCGCCCACTGCCTCCGGTTGTACCATCCTCTCCTGGTCTGCTTCGGCTTCCAATTCGTCCTCCATCAAAGGCGTGAACTTAGACGCTTGGACCACTGCCCCTTCACGTCCCTTGTTCACCTCCCTGTGACCAGTCGCGTGCCGCCGATTGCGATCAGTTTGCCTTGATGTAAACCTGTTCTTCCGGGTTGGTGCCAGCATCCATGTCCCAAACGGGATCTTTGGATCCAAGATTTCTGAAGTGACATGTGGGTTGCGCCCCGCCTGTATTAGCTGCTCATCTGCGTTCTCAGCCCCCCTGCATCCGTCTTATCACCCTCATGCCCCGCTGTTGTCCTCTGCAACGCCGGGCAGCCCTCCTTCGTGTGGCCGTAGAGCCCACATGCAAAACACACCAGGTGCATGCCCTCGTATGCGACATGCCTTATTTTCCCTTCATATGCAAACTTTGACACCAATGGTTTCCTCATATTGAGCTCGACACATAGTCTAGCAAACATGCCACACGAGACCAAACTTGTGGCCTGATCCACCTGCACGATCCGTCCGATTCGATTACCTAGCTTCCTGAGAAAAATAGCATCAAAATATTCAGCAGGTAAGTCGGGGACACGTACCCAAACAAGTATCTTTTCAGTGGTGTCATTGTACGGATCAAAGTCTGGTTCCCACGGTTTCATGATCAGATAATGGTCTAACACCATCCACGGCCCTTCGTACATGGAGAATTCCAAGTCATCCACTGATCCGAATCGCACCAAGAAATACTCGTTGGCAATGGCAATCAGATCCATGCTACCCTTTGGCTTCCACATGGATGTCAAACGATGTTGAAGGTACGCATAGCCCACCCGGCGACCCATCACCTTGATGATGAGCGCCTTTCTCCAGGGGGCTCGGATCGCTTCGATCTCACTCTTGGTCAGTCTGATCATGGGGCATAGAGGATCATCATCCTCCACCGCTTCCTCGTGTGGGGCGTCGCTACTCGGGGCTGGGTGATCGCGTTGTGGTTCGTTGCTAGCGAGACTACGTCCGGCCAGACTTTCTGCGTACGTCCTCCGTGGAGCCACCTGCGAGTCCACCGTCTCCGAAGCCACCGTTTGTGGCACTGCCTCATCCCCATGCTGGGTCTCTGATGTGGATCACTCGGTCACCCCCATCATCGCCTTAGCTGGTGTTTCGTACACGATCTCCACGTCTTCCATCTTGTGGGTCGCAACACCTCCTCCATCCGCCTGCGCCTGCCACATTGTTTCTCCCAGTTATTTTTCATATTTTTGTTCACACTTCAAAAAATTCACAAAATTGTCTCTCGGATTTATATCTTTCATATTATGCCATTATGGTCTACTATATGATTCCCTAGAATATAATATGAATGCGCGGAATATGATCTTGGACACCCTTCCAAGGTTTTAGTACTTAATTAGCATACATATAATTTGTGACGAAATTTAGTGTAAAGTCACGTACCATAGACCAGGTCTACATTATATTGCATTTTGGATCTTGATCCAAAATGATATTCAAATTATGTATATGCAGTTAACATATTATATGTTTGTAAATAAATTGAAGTCACATAATGTGTTAACTACAATCACACAATAGGTTAGTTGTAAGCATATAATTCGCAGTTAATATATTATGTGTCTGTAATTGACCAATTATATGCCTTCAATTTATTTAAAAGCACATAATGTATTAACTGAAAATACATAATATGTTAAATGTAGATATATAATATTTGAACTAGTATCCACAATGTAAGGTGAACCCTGGTCCATAGTAGAACAATTTTAGTGTAAATTGTTTGAAGAAAGTATCAAATGTTCAAGCAATATAATTAGAAATCTAAGTTAAGTTATACCCCGCATGTACAGCTCAGCTAGTTGCACATTTAAAATTTGTCACAAGCGGTCAATGTCCATCTCCTCCGCAGTTCTCTAACGCACAAGGAATCCACTTTATAGCTATCTTAGCTTGGTGCAATTTGCCCCTTCAATAGAAAGAAATAAAGCAACCTATACGTACTACCCTTTTAACCCAAAATATTCTCAATACCACCAATCGAGATAAACATAAAACAAAAGAGAACACCCAACACAGCTTTCCCAAGAATGAAACCAACCATAGTGTCATAGCTAGCCGATGAAGACCATAACCATAACCCTTCTTCACCAATACTATTCCACCCAAACCCCTTCCCCTTCCCCTTCCTTGTACCGCTTATTCACTTTCCTTGTCCTCACCAACCTTGTGAAAGCCAACATGTTCATCTATGCCGGGTGTTCTCAAGGCAACAAGTTCCAACCAAACACGCCCTACGAAGCCACCCTCAACTCTCTTCTATCCTCCATGGCTAGCTCATCCTCACAGGCTCTTTACAACAGTTTCGCTCTGGGAAACTATAGCTCGGCCAACCCAGACGGGTCTGTTTTCGGGTTATACCAGTGTAGGGGCGATCTGAAGACGAGAGAGTGCTCAATATGCATCGCCAAGGCCATAGAACAGGTCACTTTGGTCTGCCCTTTCACCCTTGGGGCCACTATGCAACTGGACGGGTGTTTTCTCAGATATGAGCACTCGGATTTCATTGGGAAACTGGACACGAGTCTTATGTTCAAGCGGTGTGGCTACGACGGGGTTAACGACGCCGCCGATTTCGTTAAGCGCCGAGACGACGTTCTTGCGGATATTCAAGCCGGCGCCGCCATGGGGTTTCGGATCAGTTCGTCCGGGTTGGTCCACGGTCTGGCGCAGTGCTTGGGGGATCTCAGCGCTTCCGATTGCTCGGCTTGCTTGTCTGATGCGGTTGCCAAGATGATAAGCTTGTGCGGCTCCGCCGCCGCAGCCGATGTGTTCTTGGCTCAGTGTTATGCTCGATATTGGGTTTCTAGCTACTACAAATCTGCTCCAGGTAGGCCTCTATAATCATAAATATGCAAATAATCCAACTATTAGTTTAACTTTTTAGTTGAGACTGAATGAAAATTTTTAATTTGCTATTAGAGCCCTTGGCAAGATGAATGAAATATATGCTTCAATTGTCCATAGTCATAAAAACAAATAATGTGTCATTTAACTATCAGCTTAGTATTTTAATTGGCAAATTTTTTTATGGATCATGGTCCGCACGGTTGTGTGAATTATGAATACAAGATATATTTTTAATATACTTAAAGTACATTATTTGTGTACTGAATATACATTATTTGATAGGATGCAAGATAATGTACTTTACATAGACAAATAATGAACTTTTAGTATATTAAAAATGAACTTTTTTATTTATGGTCCATGAAATAATGAATGGTTTTAATTGAAATAGAGCAAATGTTTCAATTTGACATTAGAGCCCTTAGCAAGATGGGATACACAATTAGATTGTCCATTGCCACAAACATATATAATTAAACATAAATGTACAATTCAATTGTCCAAAGCCATATATGAGGGTCTTTTTAGTCTTATTTGTGAAAAAAAAAAATTAACTCTTTAAAGAATGATATATTTAATGTTATATTATTTATTCTGGAAATACTATTACTTGGCATACAAATTGTCTTAAAAGTTACATATCAGCATCTTTATTTGGCTGTTTTATCCTTGCAAATTACTCTAACTTTCAAAAGTGAGATAATTTTATTTTTGGTCCTAAATTTATAGGTGACAATTTATTTTTAGTCTTTTTTATTTTTCAAAACATCATCCTTTGGTCATAATATTATTCTGGCATGACCAGTTTTTGTCCTCTATCAACAAAACAGTTTAAATACCATAGAATATAAGGACGTTTCGATCTTAATTATAATTTTTTTTTTTAAAAGACAAACATAAAAGTATAACAGGTCAACGCACTTTGTATTAAAAAGAATTTAATGTCCTTATATTTAATGGCATTTCGACGATTTTGTTGGTGAATGACAAAAAATGATCATGCCACAATAATACTAGGACCCAAAAAAGAATGTTCTAATAAAAAAAAGACTAAAATTAAATTATTACCTATAAATCTAGGACCAAAAATGATATTATCTCTTTTTAAAAGGCAACCATAGTGTGATATCATCATATTTGTAATTCATAATTATTTTCTCTATGTTCTTACGATTTCAAATCACTGTCAAAATATAATAATAATAATAATAATAATAATAATAATAATAATAATTATTATTATTATTATTATTATTATTATTATTATTATTATTATTAAAATTTTTATTATAAAAGAAAAAAGTACATAATATTTGAACATGTTTTTTTTTTTTTTTTAAAAGTAGCTTAAAAGAATAATATTTAAAAGTACATCTTTCAACATTTGAAATCTTGCCATTACTATTTGAATTCTAACTTGTATATTATATACAGATTCCACTAATGATGATGAAGTAGGGAAAACAGTGGCCATAGTTGTGGGAGTACTGGCCGGTGTTGCCATTTTCGTTGTTCTTCTATCGATTTGCCGAAAAGCTTTAGTAGGTAATTAGTAATTTATCTTCACTTCTCCATAATTCTTAAATTTTCATTCTAATCTCCCATTTAGACATTATAGTACTTTGTTTAATTAAATTTTTTAGCATTTGATAACGAATATATGCGTTAACAAATTAATGGTACCCAATGAATATAAATCACAACAACAGTGAAAATAAAGAGGCAAAAAAAAACACAATTTTCTTGGAATATAATCTCATCATTTTTTGTTGCATACTAGGCCTCAATTATGTCAACCAATTTTGGCTTATTTGATCACTATTAGCTGTTTGACTTGATTAAACAATAAATATGAGTGTTTGATTAATTAGTTTTTGTAACAACTTGTTGTTCTAAAATACTAAAATTCAAAAGGTTGCTCAAATAATTTTTTTGATAAATTTTTTGAGAAAGTCATTTTGCATGTAATCAATTATCAGTTAATAGTCAATTTACCAAACATTTTTCTACAAATAAGCTAATGTTATCAACTAGTTAAACACACTAACACAATCAACTAACAGTTATTTACCAAACACCCCTTTTAACATGCCACACTTGGATTTATAGGAAGCAACTCGATTTATTATGTTTAAATGTTTATGTACCCTAAAAAATCATTAAATTTTATTTTTAATCATTCAATTATTACAAATGATCACATTTAATTTTTAAGTTTGAAGGTGAGGATTCGATTTTCCACTATGATATTTTAATTTCCCCCCTTTCTTTTGATGCAGGTTGACAAAGAGCAAGGTAATAAGGAACCATATATGTTTCATTATTTTAATTTGTTTTCGATCTTTTCTTTATAAGGGTTAATTTCTAATTTCTCGCAAGGATGGCAGGACAATATTTATATGCTTATATTCTAAAAGTTGTGCAATTTATGGCCAATCTGTACGTGGAAAAGGTGTGTTTTATCTCAAGGCATAAAGTAGAAGCTAAGGTGCTCTCCGCTTTACAAAAGCCATTATCCTCCTTCACCTTAAATAACAGTACTTCTTATTCCAACTTGTTACTCTTCCCAATGCAAATCACAATCAAGCAATCAACTTCGTGGAATATATTCCTCCCCAATATAATTAATGAATTGAATATTTTACTTTAGACATTGCATCATTTATACACGATTATGAATTATGTTGTCACTAAGCTTATGTCCTAAAGAGGTTATAATAACATCTTTGTGAATATTGAAATGTTAAAATCCATTAAATTGACTAGATTATATATAATTTTATAAATTATATTTTGGATCATGGTCCATCCTATACACTGTGTAGACCCTTATTCGGATCATTTACATACAATTAACATATTATATACTTACAATTAATATATTGTGCACAATAACTTGGGAGGTGTGGTTGAGTGAAAATGACTCATCTATCCTTAACCAAAGGTCAAAGGTCCAATTAACATGTCTGAAGAATAACAATATGTATTGACTAGTCTAAAAATAAAAAAAAATCAGAATTACAATATTAAATAAAACAAATATCCTCTCTTAATTCTAATTTTGAAGGGCCGTCATTCCCAACATGCTATAACATGTCTTTGCTTCAGCTTGATAAATACTTCATACTTCAACAGCTTTGTAAATATGCCAGCTACTTCAGCTTGATAAATGCTTCATACTTCAACAGCTTAGTAAATATGCCAACTACTTGGTTTGTAATCTTACAATATGCCAACTCAATTATCTTCTTGCTAACTTGATCTCTTAGGAAATGGTAGCATATATCAATGTGTTTGCTTCTTCCATGAGTGACTGAATTCTTGGATAGTTTGATTGCATATATGTTATCAACATATATTTTTACTGGCCTTTTAATCTAAAAAGAGATATGCTACATCACATTGTTTAACCATATTGCTTGGCATGCACTTGAGGACGTTGCTACATATTCTGCTTCAGAAGTTGAAAGGGCAAAGATTGATCATATTGTTTCTTTGAGGACCAAGAACATGTTGCACTACCAAGGGTAAAATAGTAATCGGAAGTGCTTTTCCGGTCATCTACATCCCCATCCCAATCATTGTCAAAATATCCAATTAGAGCGCAATCTTTACAGGACGTTTGGTTGGAGGGAATTTAATTCCATTCTCACTTAATTCCCACCTAATTCCAAAAGCCACTAAATTTCTTAGTTTGGTTGGAAGGAATTGCAATTCCACGGAATTGTAATTCCCTCATTTGCATGGAATTAAAATCCCATGACCCCCTTGAGATTTTAATTCCATGGATTTTAGGAAGAAAAAAGATAATGATGAGACAAAATTACCCCTCCCATTTTTAACCTTAAATTGATGCTTGACAACAACAATGGGTATTTTGGTCTTTATACTGTTTATTCCCTTTCAATTCCCATGTATACCAAACATTGGAATTGAAATTCCCAGTAATTTTATTCATGTAAACCAAACACTGGAATTTAAATTCTCACTTTATTCCCAATAATTCATCTCCCATGAAGTTGCAATTCCTTTCCCACGTAATTCCCTTCCTCCAACCAAACGCCCCATTAAAAGATGAATAAAATAATCCATGATCAATTGTACCCTTTAAATACTGCATGATTCTCTTTGCTGGTTTCAAATGTGATTAATGAGGAGACTCTATAAACCTGCTAATCAAGCCAACAATAACATATATCTGGTTGTGTACAAGTAAGATATCTTAAACTCCCCACAATTTGCTTAAAATATGTAGAGTCAATAGACTCAATACGTTGATCATCATCTTCATTGGACAATTTTATTCCAACCTCAATGGGAGTTCTTGCAGGATTATCATGCATACAATTTTTTTTAAAAACTCAGTGGTATATCTTTTTTTGACATATAAAAATCCCATCATCTCTTTGAATTACTTTAATGCTAAGAAAATATGACATAAGACCAAGATTTATAATTTCAAACTCCATCATGCATTTTTTAAAGTCTTCAATCATTCTGAGATTATTACCTATCCCCCTTAATTTTCCTCCCGAACAGAACGGAGGGATACCATTTAAACAACGGAGGGACAATATATGTACCGTTTTAAAAATTGAGGGCAACATTTACACCATTAATAATTTAGGAGTGACATTGATAAAAGAGGCATAAATTAAAAGAGAAACTTTTTTACCAAGGTATGTTAAAAAAAAAAATTTAATGTGATGCATAGTAATTGATTGTCTATTAAACTTTTAGTATGATTATATATATATATATATATATATATATATATATATATATATATATATATATATAGGGAATGGATCAGGTGCATTTGAGGCTTCCCGTGCGGTTGTATGGGTGGACGCACGTTAAGCATTAATTTGATGCACTTAAAGTACACAACATACGCACATTAAACACACAAATAAAACACTTTCAGAACACAACCTCACGCATGTTAAGCACAAGCCTCACATATGTTAAGTACAAGTGTCACGCATGTTAAGCACAAAAACACATGCACCTTAAGTTTTAAAAACAACTCACATTAAGTACACTCACACACATTAAGTACAAAACTCACGCACCTTAAGCAGACGACTCACACACATTAAGAACAAAAGTCACGCACATTAAGCATAAAACTCATGCACTTTAAAGTTTCAACAACAACTCACATTAAGTACACACTCACGCACATTAAGCACAAAACTCACGCACATTTCGCACAAGACTCACGCACATTAAGTACAAAATTCACGCACATTAAACATTACACATTCACGTACATTAAGCACAAATCTCACGCACATTAAGCACAAGACTCACGCACATTAATTACAAAACTCGCGTGATATCGGTAATACAAGCGTGGACAAGGCCCGGGTCCCCAGTGTCTGGTCGGGAAGCTCTGGTCTTGTCTCGTGCCAAAAGTCCCTTTCACAATGCATTTAATGCGCTATTTATAGGGTCTAAAAGTGGGTGGCGCTAGGCCTCCGACATGTCGGACACGTGGCGAGCATGCACCGGGTGTTGTCCGGGGTCGCGTGACCGTCTGCCACGCGGCGCCTAAGATCTGATTTCTTTCCCCTTCGGCTGCGTCTCACTCATTGGACCCCGAATGGCGTCCTCCGGCGGGTCCGACCACCTACCGGCGGAGTCCCGGAGGGACGCCGTCGCCCGGAGCACTCCCGAACTTCCCGGTCGTGGTCGGTCGGGGCAGGCCATACGGCCTTGCTGCGAGGGTCGGGCGGTTACCCGCTCGTGGGACATTCGAGAGCCGGGCATATATCCCTGATCCCGGGCGTATATACCTATCACATAGCCCCCCTGGCTCGTGGGTCGGACGACGCTTCGCTGGAGGTAGTGCTGTCAATACGGGCTGGCGGGGCGGGGCGGGCCAAAGCCCGGCGGGCCACGGGCCTAAACGGGGCGGGCTAAAAAAGCCCGCTCCTAAACGGGCCTGGGTTTGATAGGCCCAGACCGCCCCGCCAGTGGCCCGCGGGCCCCCGCCGAAACCCCTTTAAAAAAAAAAATTGTTTATCAAACATCTAACTAATTAAAATAAATTGATACATAAGTTATAACTCACATAAAACATAATAATCAAACATTAAATATTATATAAAGTTCAAAGTTCATAGTTTATCAAACATCAAACTAGTCACAACTACAAAGTCCAAAAATATTACACATAACAATAATTTTAAAGTGCATATTTTGTATAAAAATATTTTATATAAAATAAAATATAATAATGGCGGGCAACCCGTGGGCCCGTCGGGGCGGGCCTGGCGGGCCTAAGCGGGGCGGGCCAAAAAAGCCCGCTCCTAAACGATCCTCTATTTTCAAAACCCGCCCCCTACCTAAGTAGGGGCGGGGCGGGCCGGCCCGGCGGGCTAAGCCCGTTTTGACGGCTCTAGCTGGAGGAGGGGCTTGAGCCAAGGCCTCGTGGGGGTGTTTTCGGGGTCGAACCCGCGTGGATCGCGGGGCACCTGCACTCGCATCGTGGACCGTCCCTGAGTGTGGAGAGGCACGCGTCAGTCAAGTGGTCTCTCGAGATATGGGCCCGAAAAGCGAGGCGCTGAGCGTTTTCTCGCCAACCTTCACCCCTATAAATAGCGGCTTGGCTGGGGTCCCACTACGCTTTTATGATTTCTCATCAACAACCGGACGTTCCCGAGCGGCCATCCGTTTTCCACTTTACGCTACTTCTAAGTCTTCTCAACCGGTACGTGACCCTCGACTTTCTCCCTTTCTTTTCTCCCCACCCCTTTTAGTGTTAATGCTGTTTAGGATTGCCTAGGCCCTTAGGAAACAGTCGGCCGGCGACTTGGGCGCCTTTAAGTGGGGCATCAATGTTTGAACACTACCTCTCCCCCTTGGTCTTTTAGGGGTCGAACTATGTCGAGCTCCGACAGCCAAAACCGATCGGCTCGGGACTACGCGACCGGTAGTGATGACGGATCGGTGGGGACAACTCCCGAAGGCTCTTCGTCTGAGCGCTCGGACGCATCCAGCGGCGGCGGCGCTCACCTCCCTCGGGCAGATGCCGGTCACGTGCCGGCCGCTGGACAGCACGACAGTCGGGATGTGCCGAGCGATGCCCTCACGCTCGATCGCGTAGTCGAGGAAGATCAGGCATGTTCCGGGTCGGGGGAGCACGACGATCTTGCGGGAGCACCCGGTACCTCCGGTCGAGATCCCCCAACGTACGGCAATAAGGGACAAGGATTACCACCGGGCGTAATGGCCGCGGCTCTCGACCCTTCGCTGTCCCCCAGGTCGGCAGCCTGCTTAGCCGACGACTGACCAAGAAGGAGCGAAGGGTCGAGAGCCCGCTCCGGCGAGAAGCATCAGAGTCGACTGACTAAGAAGGAGGCAGAGGACGCGGCTACCCTTTTGACCGGGCGGGTTCTGTTCAACACTCGGAGGTCCCAAGGGACAATCGTTGAACGGACGCAGGGGCTTTGGCTTGGGATGCACTTGGACTCCATCAAGACCCCCTTGACCTATCCATTCAGCCCTTTCCTTCTCGCCTTCATGAAGCATTACGGCGTTCTCCC